CGGGAGGCCATGGGCCTCCTTGGAGCAAGGGTTTAGGGTTGAGGGTTTAGGGTTTGGGGTTTAGGGTTTAGGGCTTAGGGTGTGTCATAATATGCTACTTACTAGTATTAAGAATGAGAAGAATACTAATAAGAATATGTCTCAGCAGTATAATACGCAGCAGAATAGCATAAGAATATGCTGGTATGATCATAAAATGATGTAATATTTAAAAGATGTATACGAATAGAATTGCGTAAAGTTTAAGGCCTGGGAGGGACTGCAGAGGTTGACCATCACGGCCCCTGCATCAGTCAATGTAAAGCCTTTTCTTATGTGGAACTCGACGGTTCTTATACCTGGCCAGTGTAAAGTGCATGTGCCGAGCCACATCGTTTTAGAGTGAAGCCGTGACGCCCCACGATTCCTCTTACATGGGCTGAAGAGACAATCCCAACTGCTGCACTGCCGCAGTCCGCATTGATGCAAAACTGAGGGCCCAAGTCTAAGTGGGTTTAGGGTTTAGGGTTCAGGCATAATGGGGCATAGTTCATGGTCCGTACGGCTTGGATGCGCGTGCTCCGGGTCTTCCAATAGGCATGTCAGACTTGTGTGGCTTGGGGCGATGCATCGAAGCGCTGTGAGATGCTTGAAACCAGGCCATCTCGAAGGACAGCACCAACGTCAAGGCTCAGCATGACGGCACCCTGTGGTTTGATTCCACCCTTTTCTACTAAACCCTGAAGCAGCTTAAAGTTTAACACATTTCCAGTCTCTGGAGCCCAGATGAGACCCGGTGTCTGGGTTACAAGAGATACGAGAGCAGCACGGACAGGAGGGCCATGGAATCCGAATGAGTCGAGCCCAAGTTACCCTAAAGCCATAAGTCAAGCCCCAGGCCTTTAGCCGCTGTGCCGCAGCCTGCGACATTCTGGGTGAAGCCGAGGCTTCTGATGATCAACACGATGCACCCACCCTAAATGCCAAAAGCCCGGGAGCCCAATCAAAGCCCAAACACCCTAAAAAGAAAGGCAAAAACTCGCCCCCCCCCCTCACCCCCCCTCGCCCCCCTCTCCCCATCACCGCCCCCCCCCCTTGCAACCTAAACCCTAAACCCTGAACCCTAAACCCTAAACCCTAAACCCTAATCACCAACCCGGAGTCCGCAGAGTGTCTCCGGAGGCCGCGGCCGAATTCCGCGGCCACGCCGCCCGCTGCGAGGCAGCGGCGCAGGCCACCAGGGCATCTGGGGATACTTGGAGGTTCAAGGGTTTAGGGTTTAGGGTTTTTTGGTTTAGGGGTTTAGGGTTTTAGGGTTTCAGGGTTTTTTTTGGTTTAGGGTTTTAGGGTTTAGGGTTTAGGGTTGAGGGTTTGTCGAGTATGCTCGTAGGCTTGTGGGCGTAGTGGACGTATGAGGTCTGCCACGTTTCAGAGCCAGCTGACATGCAGAGCGGTCAAGGGTTTCGTGTTTCGGGGTATGCGTACCCTAAACAAGGTTAGAAGTATAGTTACCATACTTATAACCCTACTTATATCTACCCAGTATGCTCCAAGTAGGGTGTGGCTTGGGGCGTTCGAGGCTCTTTGGGCTTTCGGGTTCTTCGGAATCTGGGGCTTGAGAGGCTTTCGGGGCCTTCGGGTTTGGTGGTTAGGGTCGAATCCGCGGTGTTGGAAGTTTAGCAGCAAAACGGCTTTGCCAGTTTCTGTTGGGGGGGGCGGGGGGGGAGGCGGGGGGGGGGGGGGGGGGCGGGAGGTTGTCCGTGTGGTTCGGGCTTTGCTGCGTGAGGCTAGTGACGCAAAGGTCTGCTGCTTGCCTACCGAGGCCACCCGGAACCAGCGGAAAGCCGAGGCAGAGCAGAGGCCACTTCTGCCAAGCTTGCAAGAGGTTGAAGGTTTAGGGTTTAGGGTTTAGGCTGATAAGAAGAGGTCCCAAACCCCAAACCGTCCCTGGTAGATTTTTTTGAAAGAAGATCCTCCCGACACTTACATCGGTTGTGGGTCCACTGGCAAAAGTTCCCTTAGCACCCCATCTTCACAGTTTTTTGGAGGTGTCAGGGCCCAGCAAAACTCTCAAAAACGAGTCGCTACGGCAAGCTGAAGCCGCTGTAAAGTCTGGTGACAACGCCTGTACCTTGTTCTGGATTCATGCGCGGCTTTGTTAGCAAGCCAGCCAGCCAGGGTGTACCAGTGCTCCCACACATACATTGCTTGAGGGTTAAACTTGCCTTGCACTTTCGCCAACAGGCAAGAGGCAAGCCGTCAGCAGCGTGAGAAGCTGGCCGCCGCCCAGGAGGCCAGGCGAGTGAACGACCGGAGCGCAAACTGAATCCTCATGACCCTTGCAATGCAAAGCCTGCGCAGGACTCGGCATTGCATCTTTGAGAGTTTCGATCCCTCAAGCCCAGAACTCTCCCACATCCTCAACCCCGAAGCCCTCAACCCTAAACCCCTAAACCCCAAACTCCAAATCCCAAACCCTAACCCCGAACCCCTAAACCCTATAAACTATAAACCCTAAACCCTGAACCCTCAACCCTAAACCCCAAACCCTAAACCCCAAACCCTAAACCCCAAACCCTAAACCCTAAACCCTAAACCCCAAACCCTAAACCCTAAACCCTAAACCCTACCCCCCCAAACCTCACTAGATCCCTCGACCTGAGGTCGCCCAGCGCCGCGAGGAGCTCCTGGAGCGAGAGCGGCGCGAGGAGGCGCTGCTCCGCGCTGCGGAGGAGGAGGGCAAGGCAGGGTTTAGGGTTTAGGGTTTAGGGTTGAGGGCCAGGGGTTAGGGGTTAGGGGTTTAGGGTGTAGAGTTTCATTTTTTGAGCCCGGTGAGAGGTACCACCGGCTCAAACCGGGACTGAAACCTCATGCTTGGTTCAGGGGGAAGCATGCAGCAAAGAGCATCCAAGAGCTTGTCCCCTTTTCGCAGAGTGAGGCCAAAGTGTCAGGTTCATGGGTAGTTAGAAGTAGGGTTAGAAGTACTTTCAAGAAGGTCAGAAGTACTTATAGCTTGGGGTGCACCTCCTTATACTAACAGTCCTTAATAGGGATTAGAGTACTTATAACCCCAGTTATAATTCTCCATGAACCTCCAAGTCGAGTTTCACCTTTTTGACGACTTGCGGAGAGGTCGACGCCACGGCTGGGCGGCTCTCCGCGCTGCTTGGCAGTTTAGGGTTTAGGGTTGAGGGTTTAGGGTTTAGGGTTTAGGGTTTAGGGTTAGGGTGTAGGGTTTAGGGTTTAGGGTTTAGGGTTTAAGGTTTAGGGTTTAGGGTTTAGGGTTTAGGGTTCAGGGCAAGCACGACAAGCCCCGAAGATGTTTCGGCGTGATGCTCCAATCAAAGTGAGGGGCTCAGCCGATAGCCCATGAAGAACTAGTTTCCCTTGTTCCAGAACCCCAAGAGGGCCTAGGGCCCACGGGTTCCATCACCATGACAACAATTGCCGAAGCTTGGTCAACAGCTCCCGGCCGCCCTTCACATCCCTTGAAGCTAGTCGAGCAAGCACGTCATCGGCGTAATCCCAATTCAAAAATACCTTTACCCTGCTGCTTCTTGGACCCATTTAACCTTAAACCCTAAACCCTAAATCCCTGTGTTCGAGGATGCTGGGCCTTGATGCGAACCTTGCCAGCCTGGGAAGCTCGGTAGCAGAAAGTTTGGGGAACGCCCAGGATTCCGGAGGTGGGCTTCTTGAGGGTTCATAGGGTTCCGTGGTTTTTTGGAGTATGTCGGCCCTAAGGGTAGACCCATGTATACCCTCAAAAGAAGCAAGCCTTGAGGGACTGGGCAGTGCAAGTTGTTGAAAAGCTGCGCCACTGCAACTCATGCACCTACTGGGTCTAAGCTGAAGCTCGGGTCCCGTTAAGGGGGCTTAGGATGGCGGTCGGCTGTAGGAGTTGGGGCTGGCCTGCAACCTGAGGAAGTGCCTGATTCAGCAGAGTGACCCAGTGATATCCAGTGATATCCTACCGTACGGTTTGAGTCGGAGATCCACTGGGCGGTTACGGTTCTATCCGAACAAGCACTCGGCAGCATCTGGACATGTGTGTGTGTGTGAGTAGGGCCTGGGCTTTGGCTTTGCAAGGCGAGGCATTCTTGGAGATCGTATATAGAGCATGCGGCAATCCGAATAGCAAGCCACGCGAGCATCTGAAGGAACCATGCTTGGCAACTCTTCCACCAGCTCGGGATATCACACAGGAGACGCTTCAAAGGAGCGACCCGACGCGCATGTCTCACAACAGAAGTTTTGAGCTGCGCCCACATCTTCGATGCCGCTTGACAAGTGGAATTCCCTGATCACTAGTATCTACTTTTCACATGATACCCATGTCTGGGGCCTGCGGAGCGCATGTAGTGGGCTGTGCCTGTGCCAGGAAATCACCACGTAAGCCAACCCAAGCAGGAGGCCTACCGAACAAGATATAGACGTTGCTTCTGCCCAAAATCTTCGGCCCAATCCATACTGCTTCCGAGCTAAGTACCACCTTGCCAAATTTGCAGCCACTTGCGCGGGCATCAAGTGAGGGCGTTGCATCGCATGTCCACTGCTGAAAGTTGGCAGGCAGGGTAGGTGCAGAGCGCACAGAAACACGGGGGCAGAATTCGCAAGGATGACGGAGAAATCACGGACAGCAGTTGTGGTCGCTGGGGTTAGGCCGTGATTTTTCCACGGCGGTCTTGCACACTTCATAGCAAAGCCGAGATGCTGCAAGGATCTACAAGGCAGTTTATGAGAATATTCTTCACAGACTGGTCATGCCGCAGGCATGTACATGCCGTAACACCATATTTGTTCGATGTGGCTGGGTGTCCTTCAAACCGTCACCGGCAAGCTTTGGGTGAGGCTGCGCAACTCGTTTTACTGCAACCCTTGCGCCTGACCCGAAAAAAACCCAGGCCTAGCCCATGAAGGGCACTCACCGGCATCGCACCTCTGAAACCTACGTAGTAGTCCTACCCCCCTAAACCCTAAACCCCAAACCCTTCTCAGAAGTTGCATTCAAACGTGGACACATGTCCGATGGATGTGATGCTTTGTGGGACGTCTCGCTGCATGACTTGCGGGCCGTCTACGACCCTGAGCCTGTGCTGAAATTTCAAGCGGTTTCTCGCAGGATGTCGGGGATTAGGGTTTAGGGTTAGGGAAGTTATGGGGGTTTAGGGAAGTTAGGGTGTGGGGAAGTTAGGGTTTAGGGTAATTAGGGCTTAGGGTAGGTAGGGTTTCGGGTGGTTAGAGTTTAGGGTTTAGGGTTTAGGGTTTGGGGGGGCTAACATGGGAAAAAGACCTGTGGATCTGCATCTGCCCCCCCCCCCCCCCCCCCTTGCTCCAGTCAGCGCCCAGCCGCCTCGTCTCCCCTAAACCCTAAACCCTAAACCTCGTAATCGCCCTGCGATGTGGACTCGCCCCAGCTGTGCAGTAGTGAAAAAAAAACCCTAAACCCTAAACCCTAAACCCCAAGCCCAGGAGATGCACTTATCTATGCTGCGGGACAGCCGGCGACACCAATTCTATGACCAGTGCCTGGCAAAGCACGTCAGCGAGCTGCGGGGCAAGGCGAAGAATCAGTTCATAGGGGGGCCCTTGGGGTCTAGGGTTTAGGGCTTAGGGTTTAGGGTTTAGGGTTTAGGTTGGCTTAGGGTTTCCATGATGTGTACGAGCAGCCAGATGGAGCCCTCAAGCCGCGCCTCCAGCATTGGCATGAAGCAGAAGCCCCCGTAGTATGTTGCAGAGATGCTCATTTTGGAGACATGCTGGCAGGTCGTCATCGACGTGGGCGCAGGCACTGGCATCCTTTCCGCCCTGGCAGTCAGAGGCCCTCGAAGACAGCGCGAGACATTTCAGGAATCCTCCAGATGGGAATGTACAGGGATGTCGAAAGCACATGTGGAGAAAGATAGGTTCAAGTGATGACACCGATGGTCAGATAGTACTGTTTTTTGTGGACAGGCTGGGTTGACCATGATTGTGAGCTTTGCAGGCTGTGGTTTACACTGGATGGCCCCCTGGGTTTAGGGTTCAGGGTTGGTAGAAGCTTGCCTGAAAAGCCATGACCTCCCTGGACGCTTAGGCTGCATGGGAGCAACTCGAGGGTTGCTTTTGGCGAGTGCTGAGCTACAAGCGACAGAAGTCAATCCTGAGGGCAACTCAAGGAAAGACGAAAAGAGCGATTTCGGGGCGTAAGAAATCGAGTGCAAGACCATCCCCACAAACAAAAGGACCCCTGCATCTCGACAGCTGCCCAACCGATCCGAGCCTAGCACTTGCAGGGGGAGCCGCGCAAGTGCATGCGGTGGAGGCCAACGTGGGCTGCTTCTGTGGCATCGCAACGTACCATGAGATGATCCACCATTTGTGTGTTTCTCTTCACAGTTTTAGATTGCAAGCCACGCACACACCTGCGGCGGTTTCCGAGAATAGTGGTACCTTAATGGGGTCCCCTTTATAAGGGGATCCTATTAGTTGGGGGTTTACAGCAGGGGCTGCAGTCCTGGGGTTATGCGCCAGCAGACGTGACTCGAAAACCAGGGACCTCCAAGTCATGCCTGAACCCCAAGCTCTCATCTACATTGTTGTCACATGCACACACACATATAGATATACACACATTAATCGTATTGGTATTATTTTGTATTTTATATATATATATAATATGTATATATATATATACATACTGATATTCTAGTATATACGTTTCATTGCAACATTTCCTATTAGTGTTCTGGCTATTTTCAGCGTCACACAGGCCCTCCCAGAGCTCTGCAAGCTTATCCCCAAAGTCCTGGCGGGCGCCCTGCCCAAGGAGGAGGAGCGTCGATGCTGCCGGGGGGTTCTTGGGATAAGCCTTCGTAGAGTAGCATAGGGAAAACCCTAAACCCTAAACTGTAAACCCTAAACCTTATGTTGTTTTAGGTATTGGTTCTTCTTTGTTTCTGTGTTCCTGTGCCTCAGCTCTATCTTGCCTTGCCGTTCTCATGGTTCTCTCTATTTTCGTTGCTCGTGTTCTACAGCCTTTGATTTTATTTGGCTTGTTGCTTTGATCTTTTTGTTTTGCCTTGTTCTGCGTTTTTTGCCTGTTGCTTTTGCTTGTCGCGTTTACCTTTTCACTGTTCCTTGCTTCTCGTTTGGCGTTTTCTTTGTTTGCTTGTTCCTTATTGCCTGTCATTGTATGTGGCTTCGTGCTCTTCGCTGTTTCCTTTCCTTGCTCGTCCCTTTTTGCATTTCGAGTCCGAGGTTGTGCTGTCTCGTATCGTTGTTTGTTCCCTTTGGCTTTTTGCTTTTCGCTTTGTGTGCTGCCTTCTTGTCGCTTGCTTTTTGCGTGCTGGCCCCGTTTTGGCCCCTGGTGTTCATTGTTTTGTTCATTGCTGTTTTGGGGTGGCGATTTACCACAAGAGTAGCTTGCAAGAACGAGACAAAGCCAGAAAACAGCGGCAACTAGAGAAAAAACGAATGGCGTAATGAAAGGGGGAATGAAAGAACGACCCGACAGGACGAAAGACAGAAGGACAGGAAGCAAGGATCATTGTGTGCACACTGGGATGTTCCCCCCTTATGCTAACAGTCCTTAAAAGGGACTGTAATAGGGGGTACTACAGTCCCTCTATTACGAACTGTTAGTATAAGGGGGAACATCCCAATATGTACACATGGGTAAGCGGGGTGGGGGCAGGCGGCCTCACTGCTTCGGACTGCTTCACCCCGCCCCCCAAGCGGACTTTTCGGTCAAGGGGTTTAGGGTTTCGGGTTTAGGGTATGGGTCGTGTCAATATCAACAGCAAATACGAACGTCTACTACATCAGTGGGAAATTCCGACACAAAGCATGCCAACGTAGGAAAGACATCCGTATCAGATGCATCCGGGAGCCCAAAATGCAGTAACGGGCATCGGCGCGACATTCTCACGATATGGTCAGCCATCCCGAAACCCTAAACCGGTACTGTCTCGGCTGGAGCCTCCGGGCCCGCGGCAAACACCGAAGGGGGACCTTGGGCAGACGGCTGTCAGAGTTTCGGCGTAGCAGTCATGAACATCACTTGAGGCTCCCGAAGTTGAAACTCCAAACCTGGACTCAAAGCCGAAAACCACGGCAACTTCGGGAGGATCAACGTCGAGTTGCTGTTCATTGCGACTTCATTGAGAAGCTGTGCCAGTGCCAAAGTGCAACGTGGCCAAGGACCCTGAGCCCTAGAACTCCCGATTGCAAGAGGTATCAAGTCAAGCCCCGGGTCTGAGCAGCACCTCCCCTGTCGAAACTCAGAAACGCAAGAGTCAACTACAGCACTGCTCATCTAGACTTGCCACACCCAGTCGGGGAGGGCGGATGGGCCCCAGCTCTTTCACACTTCTCCCGTTGCCGTACGCAATGCCAGCACAGTGAACATACACCTCCAAGCAGGCACGTTTCCAGGCTTTGCCCGGATGGGACACCTTTCAAGGATGCGCCTCCAACTTTACTCCAGGGAAGAATGCACCAGATGCTCCACACTTCAGCTCTTGAAGGGTCAGGCTCTAGGCCCGAAAGTTACTCCTCCCAAGGCATGGCCTTGCGCAAGGAAGACACGGTTTAGGGTTTAGGGTTTAAGGTTTAGGGTTTAGGGTTTAGGGTTTAGGGTTTAGGAAAGCCCACTACACGTAAGCATCTCCATCTCCTGCCCTGCGCCGCTGGCAGGAAGGCAGACTTGCTCGTTTCAGCTCCTTGGTTCAGGGTTCAGGGTTCAGGGTTCAGGGTTTAGGGTTTAGGGTTTAGGGTTCAGGGGGGCACAAAGACTGCACACTGGCTTTGGAATGTTGATGGCGATTGATCGGGCAATCCAATCCATACCGAGAGAGACCCGGTGTCTGCTTCCGTTCCTTGCCCTAATCCCTAAACCCTAAGACCCGTATTTGGGTTGTGCTCAGTTGCCAGAAGAGCTGACGAGAAACCTTAAAACCCTAAACCCCAGCTCCGTAGTCTGCCTTCAGGGAGCGAGTGCCTAAACCCTAAACCCTAAACCCTAAACCCTATACCCTATACCCTATACCCTAAACCCTAAACCCTAAACCCTAAACCCTAACCAAAGGCCTCCTCCCATAAAACAAAGCCGCCCCGCCCCCCGTTTGCAGAAGGAATGGCTGGGCATCCTTGGCCTGAATGAGGGGATGGCCTTGCCCCTACTGCGCTGCCGGGACTCCTTCAGCCCAAGGCGCCGCCAAGAAAGGGCTTAGGGTTTAGGGTGTAGGGCTTCAGGGCTTCAGGGTTTCGGGTTTAGGGTTCAAGGTTTCAGGGTTTAGGGTTTAGGGCTTGAGGATGTAGGGTTTATGGTTCGGGGCTTGGGGTGACAGAGTTTTGGGGTTTAGTCCTTTAGAGGTAGGGTTTGAAGCTGTAACGTGTTTAGGGCTGCGGGGTGTTGGGTGTGCAAAAGGTGTGCACTTGACGGCACGAGGTCAGGACCCAAGTTTCGGATTTGAGGACTTCCCCCGAGTATGGGGTACAAAATCTGGTGCACTTAACAGTGCGCCTACTTAGTGGGCACACGGGCAGGCCGAGCCGCTTGGGATTTGGGTCCTTTGCTGTTCAGGGTTGCGGACAGGGGGGTGTGGATTAAGTTGGACGGTGTTTCACATGTGGCCTAGAGACTCGTGAAGAAACCTCCGCCTTAAAACACTTCTGAAGTCCGGACTGCTGCTTTCTTTAGCTGTGGGCTTTCTACTTGCTGAAGCTTCAATTTGTTCATCCTCCCCCCTGCCCCCCGGCTCAGACCTGCAGTTTTGCGGCCACAAGACCCTTCCTCATGGGTATGGTGGCCCTTACCAGATAAGGCACCAGGACCTGGAGCGGGCCCTTTTTTTCGTTTCTAGGGGGGAAGAGGTTCAGGGGTATAAGCCCGTTGAAACCAAAAACGTGCATCCTTGTTATTTTTAGGTTACAAAGGTCCTGGGCCACCCTCTGAATTCTTATTCTAGCATTGCCAGTGCCTCTCCGAACTCGCTTCCACCGACCCAGGAAGAGTCAAGAACAGCACGTCATGATGCGTCAGACCTGGTTGCAAGTGAAAATTGCAAAAAAAAGTCATCTGTGATTGTTTGATATAATTCTCAAAGCCTGGGCCCCCGTTGTAGGTCTCTTTCTAATATTGTACCTAAAATTTTCAAATCACGTGACACACACACACACACACACACACTCGCGAGGCCCCGCATGGTTCCCGGACTCCTGCGCATCTGGGTACAACCGGCGGCCTACGCCCCTGCTGGGGCAGGCGCGGGGGGGAAGGGAAGCGTTGGAGTTTGGGTTTGGGGCAGGTGGTAAGGGTGAACAGGCTTGTTCATGATGCCCTGAGACCTCACTCTTCACCATCGGATATTGTAAGGGTCCCCTATTGGGTTTACGAAAGCTTTTATGTGAATCTGTTTTTCGGGATGTTTCACAGGGCAACTGAGCACGAAACCTTGCAAGCCGGCAACCTGGAGGTCAGAGGTGTGGCCCACTGGCCACTTGTCTTCTCTTGGGTTTGGGGCCTTGGTCCTTAAACAGGTTTGGGCTTTAGGGACGGGAGCCTTGGTCCAACTTGCAAAGCCAAGCCCTGCATTTTGCAAAAGCCCAGGGCCATTGATCCCGTCTCTAAAGAAAGCACTGAAGCGCCTCTCCTTCCAGAGCTTTGGGCACAGGGACCCAGCCCAAAGTCGAAGCGAAGCCCATGTGCTGCTCTGGAGTACCCTTAGTGATTGGGCACCCTTTCCTCTTGTTGATATGACAGGTCATGCTTAACAGTTGCGCCCCAAAGAAAATTTGCAGAGTAAAATACAGAAGTTGGGTGCTCCCAGCGGTGGCACTATTCATTGCCTTAGCACAAGGAGGCTTTGCAGTGTCTTTGGGGGGGCTTCTCATGTGTCCCGTAGGGGTCTGCAGGTCTTAACATCGCTCCTTGGAATGGCATGTCAGATCTCCCGATCCTTCGTGAACGATGCTTGGGGGTTTAGGGTTTAGGGTTTACGGTTTAGTCATTGAGGTCCCGTTTTTCTTTCAGCCGTCCCGGCTGACTTGGCTCAGGGGCAAGCATGAGCCCCCAAGGGGTCGGGGGCAGGAGCGCGCGACGACCGCTGGGGCACACCATGCCGGCTGAGTTTGCGTCATTTTCCAGAAAGTACGACCCTTCCTGTACCCAAAATGCGGCAGCTTTCCCGAGGTTTCCCTAAAGGCTCCCCTGGGCCCAGACCTCGCGCAAAAGGATTGCACGGGCTTCTAGCCTATGCATCTGTATCAGCGCAAGCAGCGCATAAACCTGTGGGTCCGGTCTGCTTTCTGCTTCGTAAACAATGCAAGGGCATGGGCATGATATTGGGCCAGCGTGATAAGTTCTCGTTGTAAGCTCTTTCGCATCAAAGAGGCGGAAACCCTACACCCCCAAAGCGTGACGAAGCAGGAACAAACCACAACACGATCTCGCATGAACGCCCCCAAGATTTTCTAGACCCGAAACCCAACAGAAGCAGCGAAAGCTGAGGCTTCCTCTGCAGACGCTCTGCGCGGCTCTCCGACCCTCCTCCTGGAGGCAAGATGCCAAGGGCTTCATGGGATGCAAGCATTCTAAGGTTTTCGAGAGAGCGGTAGGTGACTGTGAGTGTTGGGAGTTTGTTATAGGGGGTTTGTTGCGGGTTAGGCCAGGCTATGGGCTCTCAAGTCCCGAAGTGCCGAGCACACGACACAGCTTTGGAGTTTGCAAGGCGTGAACGTGTGAAAGTGGAGAAGGAGGCATTGGTGACCCCTTTTTTGACCAATCGAAAAAACATGTGCTTAACTAGCAGTCATCGCAATTGCAGAGACTTC